ACTGTGGACACACACACACAGCCGTCATCGTGAGTAGTCACTGGTCCTGTGAGCACGTTCTCCCTCCTCTTCCTCTTCTGCTGGAGCCATGGTTTCCTATAACCAGCAGTGCGTCTCCATGACCTGGACATCAGTGCACGCAGGGAAGACCTTCATAGATGTCCTCCTCCACCACTGGAGGGCAGTGCCACCTGATTTCTTCCACGGGATTTACACTTTAATTTTTCATGTTTAAATCTTTGACCCATCTGACTTTTGGGGGGGGGGGCAGTAAAGGAATACAAGGAACTCTAGCAGACCTTCAGGCTCCAGCGCAACTCTCTGCCATCGAGGGGTCAGTTCTGAGCACAGCGGCCCTGTAGGGCAGGCTCGAACCGTCCCTGTGGGTTTCTGAGACTGAGACACTTTCCCGGAGGGGAGCGCCTCACCCTTCCCCGGCACCCCTAGGCTCAGCAACGACGAACGTTCACATCTAGGAGGGGCCTCTGGAAAGTTCATGGAGAAACTCCATACCCTTCCATTTCCCCATGAACTTTTGGAAGCCCTCTTCCACAGGATACAAACCCACTTGACCTGGAATCAGTCACACATGACTTTCTTGGGAAGGTGGGAGGAGGAGGTGCAGGATGGTGTAAGGGAGAAATCTTCATCTTCCCTAAAGAAGAGATCAGTTCTCAATTGGACCCGATCAGACATAAGGGCTTACGCCTACAAGCCATCCTCAAAAAGACAGGGACTTGAATGGACATGTCTGCACAAAAAGATACACAAATGGCTGCTGCCTGTTAGCAAGTCAGTTGCCTGCGGCTGGTCCTGACGCATGATGACCTAGCGTCGTGGGTCAGTCTCTCCGTGCTCCACTGGCTCTCAAGGGCTGCTTCTACACGCGTGGATCCCCTGGGCTCTCCCGCTTTAACTGAGAGCTTTAACTTGAACCTGCCTCTTCACCACATGAAGGGTCTGCACTGCTCGCAACAGGAAGCACGATACGCTGGGGGGCACCCCGCGTCATTGGGAGGCTCGGATCTAAACCACAACGAGATGCCGCTGTACCCGCGCTAAGGTGGCCATTACAGAAGACGGGGAGAAACGGGAGCCTCGCTGCATTAAGGGTGGGAAAGAAAACGGTGCCCGTGACAGTTTGGCCAGTGCCCAGAAAGTGGAACAGGGCATTCCAGGATGACCCGCTGACTCATTTCTAGGTACACACCCGAGAGATCAGAGGCTCCAATGGAGACGTGTACGGATGTCAGTGTTCTTCACAGCGCTGCTCACAACAGCCAAAGGTGGACACAGCCCTCCTCCGGCCCACCCACAGATGACTGCATGAGCAATATGTGGCCGAGCCACACCACGGAATAGTATGCAGCCACAAAGAGAAATGAAACGCAGAGGCAGGCCGTGGCATGACTCAACTTTGAAAACGTTATGCCGAGTGAAAAGCCAGGCACAAAAGCACGCTGTCAAGCTAGCAACAATGAGGATGTGAACAAACGGTCCGGAAATGGACTGTGGTGATGACTGCGCCAATCTTAATGTGACTGAGCTGTATGGTAGACGAAGCGTATGCCAGTAAAACTATTTTTTAAGGTTTTATGTGAAACATCTATAACCTACTTGTGTGAAGCATCTAGACCAGGCAAAGGTATAGACCAAAGTTTATTGGTGGTTACTGGGTGGCAGGGAGGAGGGAATGGGGAGTCACTGCTTCTGGGGTGCCACATGTCTATTCCGTGTGCGGACGTACATTTGGGTGTGGAGGGTTGATGGACAGGGCCAGTGGGCGCACACATGGTGAGTACACTTAATGCCGCTGAATGGTTTACTTAAAAATAACTCACGAGGAGAAATGCTCTGTCCATGTTAAGGCACTCTTGAACACAGAAACGATGGCTTATTTGGCTAACAGGGACAGTAGAGATGTTAGGAGCAGCAGCTACGAGAGCTGAGCGTGGCTGCCTGGGAAGTGGGCAGGGCCCAGGGTGGTGGGGGTGGCAGTGTAAGCACCTAAGCGTCACTGCCTCTGGTGGCCCTCACTCAGCCACGACTACGGGCAGAGGAGGCCCCACCAGCTTACAGTGCAAGCCCAGCCACAGGGCTCAGACCTGAGCCCGCTCTGTCTCCAGACTTGCTCTCCACACCCTCTCGCCCCTGGAGAAGCTTTTTTGTGGTTGCCGCGTGCTCCCTCGCTCTGCCCTTCTTCCACTCAGCACCAGTGGGAGGCTGCCAGCCTGCAGAAAAGGCTTTGAGCAGCACCCCAGAGGGGCAGGTTCCCATGCTGAGCAGGGCTGCACCTCCAGGCCACAGAGAGCCGTGAAGTTCTGAATTAGGAGAGGCGGGAAGGGGCATCTCGGCTGGGGAACCAGCCAGCGAGGAGTGAAGAGTCTCCCCTCCTGCAGTGCCTGGGTGAGACTGTCCGATGGGCCCCTGGGAGGCTCCAAGTGCCACGTCATACACACACTCCACTACACAGGGACACGTATGCACAACACACACATACCACACCACATACACACACACACACAACACCTACACCACACACACGTGCACACAGCACACACACATACACCACATACACACACAACACATACACCACACACACTACATACATGTGCACACAGCACACACACATACACCACATACACACAACACATACACCACACACTACATACACGTGCACACAGCACACACACATACACCACATACACACACAACACATACACACACACAACACACCATACCACACCACACAGACACGTGCACACAACACACATATCACAGTGCACACACCACATACATACACATACACACACCACACTATAGACATGTGCACACCACACACATACACCACTCACACAAGACACACACACCATACCACAGACACACCACATACACCACACCACACAGATGCATCCACATCACACACACACACACACACACACACACATC